GTGTACACCACACAAATGCAACTTCAATATTCACACAAACCGCCCGAACAACTCGTGGGCTAACTGAAAGTCCTGGATATTTTTAAGTGATTCAACGAAGTATGCCCATTGAGGCGCAGTATCCTTCAGCGGACAGCATGGACCTGCGTTATAACAATGATAAGATAATAAGCGTCGGGTTCATGCGCAGATCTGCATGACGCAGTTTCATATGGGTTTTCTATAAGCTAACCAGGTCAAGGACCATAAACAGGACAAGGACCTCAATGACTGAAAGGAAGCGAATTGTTTCGTGGGCTATACGGCGAGCAAGTGCTCCAAAACACGTCTTTGGCGCATCGGAAAGCAAGGAGGAGCACGCTAATCAAAGGACAACAAAGAAATGGAGCACTGAACGAGCGATAACGATGCAGCAAAGCGCGCGCCGTCGCTTGTCCTTGGTTGAGGTCGGCGGTAAACAAAAGCACGAGATGAGCAATGAGCAGACGCACTTGCACGACGTATAACCAAAGTTGTTTTCCAACGTCATTTTAGTATATTCCCAGAAAAGACCCTGTCCCAACGATAAATGCAAATGTTCTCGATAGTTTCCTGCCGTCGTACACATTAAACAATCAGTCGACGAGTGAACAAATAACCCTTGTGTGGCTCGTACGCAAGTAGCGAGTTCAACAACGTTTATTGCACGCATCGTGAGCCCTTATATACAGTATGCCCTAGCGGCGCAGCTGCTGTGCCGATGACAAGGCTGACGATGACAAGGCTGATCTGGTATCAGCTAGTGACGCTGCGCTACACCTTTTTCCTTCATCCGTAGTTTGACACGTAAGGTACCACTGTGTAATCTAATGATAGAAGGCTTGACAACGGGTTTTCAAAGTAGTTCGAAGAAACTTCTTTGTCTGACGTAGCGAATGCATGAGTAGTTTTTTGACAAGAAATGCAAGGTCTAGGTGTAATATTACCTATTGGAAAACGTAATAGCAAACCACAAAAAACTGGATTAATCACTACTAAAAAGATTGGAAGTTAACGGTAGTAAAACCCTCTAAACGCCATAAATGTCAGGTTGAAAAGCAAAATCCAAGTTATGCTTGCTTTTTATGCTCATTCTGCGCAACGTCTTTACCGTATCGAATATTTACTTTTACCCACAATTGTAAAATTATTTTACGTGTGTTTTTTTAGCCACACCAGCATGCATACGGAAGTTTAATTATATTCGGGGAGGTTACTGGTAAAGGTGACGCGCGTATAGTGCACATTTTGTTGTCATATTACGTAACGAAGCACATAAATTGTGTTTGAAAGTGACGTCGTCTACTGCCTTGCGCACTTTAGTAACCTACAAATAGCGGCGCTTTCGAGCGCGGCGTCACTCAAAGCGAACATTCTGCACTGCACGGGTTATGTGATAAAGAAGGTTATGGTATGTTGGTAATAACCGTATCAAGTATAACAAACGCCATATTCTTGAGCATCTTATGTTCTCTGACATTTGTAAGAAACAAAGAGCGTGGCCAGTCTTGGGCGCCATACTATCGCTCTGCAAACTAAAAAATTCAGGCAGTACACTAAACAAAAAACAAAAACAAAACGGAAATGAACAAATGACAAAGAAAGAAGCGTGAACATACTAAACCACGTATAACGCTTCGTTTTGCTGACAGTGCCTTGTATAACTGTCAAATCTACTTATGTATGCTGATAATCCAGATACCACATTTAAAGTGTACAGACAGTGTGCTTCCTAATATCAACGAAAAAAAAATTAAAGACAAATTAAAAACAGAAATTTATCACATCGGGGCAACGCTATTTCCCTAGTTTATATCAGGACCTCAGTGCAAACTTTTTTATATGTATTTCAAAAAAAACCAATGGCATGTGGCATGCCTCGGCGGAAGTCTGAGGAATAATTTCTGCTCTCGGTTTTTTTTTTGTTTTTTTTGACGTGCACGCGAAAGCACGGTTATGATGGCGCCTACAACTTCTCCGCAATAAGCGGTCGTCAGATCGCGAGCACATCGGACGTGATTTGAATCCGACACCTGGGCATCCGAGCGCTTAATTGTAAGGTGACATTCGACGAAACACGTCCCCAAAATCTAATACTTCACTTGTTCATATTTATTTGCCGTTGCTGACGGATCTCAGTCGGATGTTGGCATCCTGTTACTAATAGAGCCCACAGCAGTTGATAGAAAGTGGTAAAAGATAATCCTGCATCGCTCTATTCATTCGCAAGATAACAGGGCCGTCAACGGCCCGCCATAGAAACAAACAAAACAATACAAGAGCTCTTCAAGACCGACCCGAACAGACTTCAGACCACGAGACCGCCTCCTCAGACCACGAGATCGTCTCCTCTTCAGCCCACGGAAGCGACTCCTCGAAATTTCTGAAGGAAAGGAAACTTATCTCAAGAAAATCACGTCGGCTATTTTTTGTCAAAGATTGGGAATACTTCGATACATGTGTTCCTTCAGTGTGTCTCTCCACTTCCTTCATAGAGGGATGAAGAAGATGACCGTTCCCGGAAGACCAACTATGCACCAGCATCCTCCTCCTTCTAAGCAATAGACTCTACTATGATTCGATTGCTCGTTAATCCTAAATCCTATATATACTGCTTGCGTATCGCACTTTTATTTTGAACGGAGATATTCATAGGTGGTGAATATAATATTTGTTACATAAGCTAACCTCAGCAAAAAACAATGTTTTTGCACCAAACTTACCACGATGACCCGCCCAATAGCATTGGGGGGCAAGAGGCACTGAAAATTAAGAAAGATTAGGTCAGAGATAAATAAAATCCGCTTATACCTGATACATTTTATTTGGCCAAAATAAACGCCGGAAAGGTCCACCATGTCATTTGTGGTTCGAGGCAAACTAGGTGTAACCCAAGTTTATAATATTAAATTTTTTAATAGTTTTTGACACTCACGAAGTTTTAGATGAAAAAAATATTAACGAAAAATGTACCATATCATTTCACCCGGACCCTTAATGGATCTCACTGGCTAAAGAAACTAAGTTAGTAGATCCTTATAAGGGCCTCCCGCTAAGTCCCAACAGCGTTACCCCATAGAGTTGCTTAAGAATAAACAGTGGGATTTCGCTTGAAATGCATCAAACTTATTGGGAAAGGCGGACAGTGTAGCACAGTATTTTGGACCGAAATTCAGGTTTTGTCTGGGAATTTAGGGACTTCAAAAGCTCGAACAAGCTAGGGTAGAGCCCAACTTGACCTTCTTTGTCCAGAATCTTATAACCTTAGCGCTAATTCACAAAACAAAGGCCTGAGTTGCACTTCCCTTAATGTTATTTACGCGACGAAAATATGCCGTCACGTATTTCATAGGTGACGGACTATCTGGCTCATGTCTCGCACTTTGGCAATTACGGGGTGAACCAAAGAAAAATCGGAGAAACGCAGTAGAAAAGTCCTTTGGAAGAGACCTTGGAATCAAAAACGAATGAGGCCCATAGCTGGTCCCCTATGATTCCGTTTCTGGCGTGCTACCGAAGGGGGGGGGGAGGGCTTTACATTTTTTACAAGCAATGTATAAGAAAGCTTCGTTTGTGATAATAACGAAACTGCTCATTAAAATAGATTATTGTTATTAAATATACGTTATTATAAGTTCAAATTTGTGGTATACATAAATAACTTAATCAGATTTTCTGGTGATTATTATATTCTTAAATGCAATCTATTGGATAACCCAGTTTATAGTGCGGACAAAACTGCACTTTAAGAACGAGAACACAATAGATTTATAGAAAACAAAAAACACTCATTTGGTTCTATCACAAATTTTTCCGTTATTCATTAACTCTTCACGCCATTTTGATACTGCTCGTTCAATCACATATCGGGATCTATTACGAACCATATTTAGAAGGATAAAGCTTATTCTTAGATTTCACAATAGTTTTTGTACAAGACCACTAAGTGGGCTTCCGGAGCAATTTCGCGTCAAATTCAGATTGTATTTGTTTAATACATGAATCGTTGAGCAGTATGACATGGAATAACTATTATTGTTCACCAATCAACATATCTTTTTACCCTACATTGTACCTGAGGGTAATAGTTATATAAAAATATATCTTGCTCCCAACTTGGTCTAAACCTAAAATTTCAAGATTTCCATGTCTTTTATTCCAAGTTGATTTTTATTTCGTACTTATCTATTGTAATGATTATCCATATTGTTAAAATATTACACGACATACTTATCGGGTTCCCTCTTTCGCTGTACTCTCGCAAAGTAGTTAGTTTAGCCACTTATTTCTCTCTAAGCTTCTTAAAGTACCAGATATTTTGAGGCATATTTAAGCTAAACTTTTTTTGTTTTTTTTTAAATCATGCTATATATTAGAATAATGAATTTTTATTGCACATTGGTTAAGAAACGCGCGATATAAATAATACTACACGATTTCGTTTTCGTTATATTTCCATAGAAATTAGGGAAAACAACCGCATTCCGACAATTTTAACCTTTTGCTACGGAATGTTGGTTTCACCGCAACATTTCTCATGAGCTCGAAAATAACAGAGATTGCAATAAATTAATTACCTCTAACGTATCAGTCGGGCTTTGAAGTACTTAAATACATTCCTTTTAACCGGCTAGAATGTTTACACTCTTAGATATTTTTAAGTAGGATGTCTTAAAAGATGCTATCTTATTATCTCTCTAATTTGCCGAAGTCTTTCCCAATTGGCTGTTTACACGGCCTATAGCTTCGTAGCAATGATTCCTGGCGCGTGCCTTATATACTTGTTAAATACACTTGAATAACGAAAATTACAAGAATGTTTGAAGTTTCGTTTTATAAGTTGTAGCGGTATCATATGTTGAAGAGAAAAAGAAATCATGTCTCATATATAGTGCCACATAAATTCGAAACACTCTCATGCCCCTTGGTGCAGTTGCTAGGGTAGCTTTAAAACTTCCCTTAAAATCAAGACATAAGAAGAGTGCCAATTGCTTGTTTGCTTTATTAAAATTGCTCTTTTACAACAGGAACGTGCGGTAGTTCTGTCTTCTTCGGAGAAGATATGTGACTGTTTGCTTCAAGAGCGCGAGCCACTTCCTATGGGTTCTTCTGAATCCTATGTATGGAGAAAATGTGAAGCGCAGCATTAAAGAAGCAAATAAAATAATGTTTAAAGACACAAAATTCAAATGGCAAACAGACAGCTCATACTTTAACGGACGTTTATTTTTTTACATCCAATTTTAACATATACTGGCATAAAATACTGTCGATTAGTTGCGACATTACATTAACGCTAAGAAAAAAGGGTCCCGGGCCAAAGGCGTCAGACGTGAGGTATTTCGTATCTTTAAAACGAGAATATTGCTTGCCATCAAAACAGCTTATTTCCTACATATCCCCGCCCCCTTGCCTACAGAACTTACGGAAGAGGCTATCTAACAAAATAATGCGTCAAAGCAGTAATTTATTCAGACATTTTTTAAAATTAATATACACTTTATGAATATCCTTTAAGGTATCATCATTGCAGGGCTGGGATTACTGCTCAATAGGATATAGGAGAAAATATGATACCAGCGCTTCTTAATTTACTAATTTCGCGAAACCAGGACAACGACTCTCTAAAAAAATATTACAAGATATGTTGCCAGCCCCGTTAACACATTCCGTGACACTAGCAATTTTGATAAAAAATCATTCTCAATATTGAAAAAAAACCAAGAAACTACCCTCATTTGCTTGGTTTTACTGCCTTACACAATGTATATTTAAAAATCATGTTTAAATATTACGATATTAATACTTGTTACTTGTACTCAAGAGAGAGAGATGAAATAAAACATGTCAGAAGCGAATAATGACATCTATAAAGTATTTTATATTTACATACTAACCTATTTATCGCAGGTTACAAAAACAATTTATGTTTATATGCAAGTTTAAGAGATGCCATATAGCTATAGATTGCTCCGTTTGAAGATACGGCGGTTGAAAAGAGCCTCTAAAACACATCCACGTGTCACTTACATTTCTTCTTGCGAAGGAGCGTGCTGTAGTCACTGGCACTTCCCAGACCATAGCCGTAGTTGAGACCATATCCCGACAGGCCGTGCCCGTAACCGTAAGAACCAGTTCCGTAGCCGAGAGCCCCAACACCGTAGCCGTAACCGTAGGACGGGTCCACCGCGTAAACTGGAGCGTGGCCCAACGCTGAGGCTGCGGGAACTCCATGGTACCCAGACACGGTTGGAACGCCACCGTACGAAGCCAGTGCCGGACCGGCCAAACCTGGAACGCCGCCGTACGAAGCAAGAGCTGGGCCAGCTACGCTGTAACCCGGCGCCGCGTAGCCCGCAGGCGCTTCCAGGACGTAACTTCCCGGAGCAGCAGCCGAGTAGCCACCTAGGCTACTTCCGTAGACAGCTCCATGTCCGGGAGGGTAGCCATTGCGGAGATATCCGGCGAACGCACCGGACGCCAGGACGAGGATCACGCAAGTACGAATCTGAAAGGTGTTTAAAGTCAAGGACAGCTTAAGAAACGTCGAGCGCGGCAAGTCCCAAGACTCTAACTACCCTACGATGCGCTGCGGCATTGGCCGTTCAGAACGCCAGAGGAATGAGGAAGTAAGAAGCCGGATCATAATGGTCGACGCCCTGCGTTTTTTATAGTGTATTAGTGACTACATGTGGTAACAAATACTATTCTACAAGAACCGGGGGGATGGGGGGTGGGGGGGGGGGTGGGGGGGGGGGGTTCTGGCATTGCTGTTTTTAATTTGTTGGTTGGATACAAAATAAATTTGGTGGCGGCGATGAATTTACTGACCATGCCCAAATGGTGAGAGGATAACAGTAAAAATGCTAATGCAAAAAAAAAAATCAAAGAATGGCAAGTAATGTGTTTTTTTTTTTCCTCTGATTCCAGAGTTGCTTTACACCGTTTAAATTGTCGAGTGGAAACGAATATTTCCATAGCCCTTTACAGTTTCGAGAATGCAGGTCGTGGCAAGTCTATAGCATATTTCATTCGCTTCGAAGCCGATGTGATTACAACGTCGGTCGAAATATACACCGGAAACAAATAACAATAGTAGAAACTTGAACATAATCGGCTATCTCCTGCGTTTCTTCAGCTGTCAGTGACTGTAGTAGCCTGCAATTGTTCACTGAATACGTGCATTTGAATGGCTCCGTTTTTTCAACCTCTTTCTTCCATATCGCCGTCACCACCTTCCGCTTTGTCCTAATCTTTTTTTTTTTTTTTTTTGCTATGCATAGAGATTTTTCAAAAAAAAATTCTACTGTTTCCTTTTATGTAAAAAGAAACTAAGGAGCACTGAATGCTGATTCTCCGCCCAAATGTAGCTCTAATGGTCCGAACCAGATGACAAAGTTTAAGAACTAACCTTTATCTGCGTGAAAAGTTATAGGGGATTTTCTGAAAATTTTCATTGACTTTCAAATCATATATCGCTTAGTTCTGAAACTTTGGCATGTGGCTCGAACCGCCAGGCAAACATTTGGGCGGAGAATGGCCGTTCGGCAATGAACAATCAATTTTTGCAACTTAAAAAAAAGAAAACTTTTATAGTTTTTTTGCGTTTGGTACTTTAACGTTCAGAAAAAGACTGACTGAATTAACATATTAAATGACAGATTTAGCTGAGTCAACGAGCTAGTTCTAAGATATTTATTTTAGCGAAGAGGTCGGTGCTTCGCAAGTGACTTCATCTGCTTACTTATTTCCACTGGAACATAACTCCATCGTATCTAACTTGTGAATAAAGGTAGGCTAACGTTAGATCAGGCATATGAATGGTAAAATTATTATCTTTGAGAACTAATAATTAAACACGCAATCTGGAACCGGAATGCCTTCGGAACAGACGCGTTACTGAGTAAAAATTAAGCTAACTTTGGCTCCTCCATTGTCCACATTCTGTGCGTTTATGGCAACATTATTTACGTCGAACATAAATCTATACATGGTTGTAGCATAAAGTTATTGGATAACTGTTGGGGGGGGGGGGGGGGCAAGTTATGGGGATGAGCTTGAAACGTTTCATATGTTTCATTGTTATGTTTCATTTCATATGTTTTCATGTCATATGTTTCATTGTTATGTCGAACATTGTTATTTGCGAAAGTTTCAAATTGTTGTTTATCTTTCGCTGTATAATTCAACGTCTGCCAGATATCAGTCAGACGTGATAAAGAGAAAAGTGTGAATATTAAGATTAAAATATTTAAAAAGGGTGTTTGAATGCTTGATTCAAGAATTAAAAATCTGCCTAATATTCACGAAATAGGCAACCCCAAGTTGAACACAGAATAAAGGCCAGCTGCTGGAGAATATACATACCCATTCTAGAACTGGGACAAAGGCTAATGACAAGCCAAATACACATGTTTCTGTTGAAATTTTCGTTTAAAGACGCTTACCGTGTTCATGTCATATAGGCACAAAAGAGAAAAAAATAATTCATGCTAAGCTGCAGTTTGATCCGCCGAACACATCTCGGGTATATACATCACAAGAGGAAAGATTCCTATTTTGGTCCTCTTAAGAACGTTAAAAGGCATATTATAAAGTCACATATTATAGCTAAAATCGTCCACAGATTCACAATCTAACGAATCATTTTCTAAGCGGAGAAGACCAAGAGCATTCAGAACGTTTCTTACCATTGTAGTCTGCGGGAAGGTGTTCTTAACAGGTCCACAGTAAGAGAATATTCTTATATACTGCATTTGTGGGAAAGAGTGAAGACCCAGACAACATTCGGAGAAACTTCTATAACTCAGGTTGTGCAAGAAACCGAACACGTGCAATGTAAATTCTCGTAACAGGCTGTCTGAGAAAGTCATTGTAGCTTTGCTATACACGTCTAGCCTCAAGTACCTAATGCTTCAGTATCACGATACGGAGGCGCATTTTAAGATGGTTTCGAAAGTCTATGATCAATTGAAGAGAAATTGTGTGTGTTTTTTCTTTTTTTTTTTGTCGCTGCTATGGATATCTCGGCTGGAAGACAGTCATGTCTGACTGCACGCACATCGATTTATTTCGGAATGACGAAAGGGACGTTTCGCGTCCTTGAATTTTAGAGCGTCCCTGGATTCGTCGTTCTCGAAACGACCGGCTTGAGTAACAAAAGCTAAACTTTGTGACTTTGCCAAACCAAACACGTTAAGTTCATATATATACATTAACATATATATAAACGGCAGAAAAACATACTCGAGACGCTGCTTTGGAGTTTTATAACATATTATTCGTAGAGTCAGTCGACGTTTCGGCCTTATACAGTCCTTTTTCAAGAGTGGTTACATGATATTAAAACTTGACACACTTTGGCTACATCGCGTGTCCCATGACATCAAGAGATAATACCAATTCAAAACACCTTGACTCCTTCAAGACCTCACGAAACACCCGACACATTCGAAGGATGAGCCCCGCATCGTAAACATGGCCGGAGAGAACGAGAGGAAATCGGGGGGGGGGGGGGGGGGGGGGGAGGGAGGGGAGGGGAGTAGGCAGAGGGAGGCAGCTACAGGAACAGGAAACGCCAAATTTTTGAGAAAAAAAAAAAAAAGAAACGCTTACAGCGATTGAAAAAACGCGCTTCGAGCTGCCTCCTCACTCTATCCGTCCCCCCCCCCCCCCCCCCCCCTTGCAAACCCGCGCCACGTCCTCTCTCTCTCTCTCTTTCCATACACATGCACACACACACACACACAAACAAACACACATATGTCAATCAATCAATCAGTTTATTTCGTCTATATGTACAGACCACAGGGGCATGGGCAAAAAGCCAACACATGTTGGCTTGACTGGGCCCCACCCCCGTTTTCTTGACAGAGGCCGATCAGCAAATTGTAAGACAGTGTAAACAAACTCGATAATTATATAGCAGGAAGACGTTTAAAAAAATAACAAAAAACAAACAAAAGAACATGTAGACACTTGTAGCCGGGAAGTTGAACATTGATATTATGAGGCGCAATACAAAAATAAGTGAGCTACAGAAACATATATTTGATGGCACGAGGTGTTAGTGTTTCTATAAGGAAGTTGTTGCTCCTTAGATTGTTCAATAATGATGGGAGGTGGTGTCTCAGCATCTGCGTTCCATAGTTTGTTCTGCTGTATGGTACCTTCCAGACATCCTCATTACGAGTAGAATAAAAATTTATACTTCGTGCTAGACCAGCGATCTCTTGAAATAAAGGATTGTTCAGTTTAATGCCAGCTGTGTATCTTAAAATTATTGTGTAGTCATACAGGTTGGTAACTGGAATGATATGCAGAGTTTTAAAAAGGGGCTGCGTATGAGAATCATATGGGGCATTAACGATACTCCGTATGGCCTTTTTCTGAGAGACATGAAGATTGTTTATATTGGTTAATGTTGTGGTTCCCCAAACCAGATGACAATAATTTAGATGTGAAGAAAATAGAGAGTTTTATAAAAGGAGTTTAATTTTTACTGGGAGATTGAAGCGAAACCTGTTAAGAATGCGAACGGCTTTCGAAATCTTGCGAATGAGACCTTCAATGTTAAAATCCCATGACAGGTTTTCCTGAAAAATTACGCCTAGGGTTTTAGTACTAGGTACTAGTTCAATGATGGAGGGCCCAAGAACAAGGTTGTAGTCGAAAACCACAGACTTATTCTTCGGTTTAAAGAGCCCTGCCTTAGTTTTGGAAGTGTTAATAGGAAGTGATTTTACGAATCCTGGAGAAAAGCTCACCGGAGAAAAGCTCACCGGAGAAAAGCTCACCGGAGATAAGCTCACCGGAGAAAAGCTCACCGCAAAACCGGCGGATGCGGAGAAAAGCTCACCGATTCTTTTTTTCTTTTTATATGGAGGCTGTTGGATCATGCGTAACATACATAAATTTATTATCATTAAAGTTCGTCAGCTTTGTCAAAAAGAAAATGTCCTTTTTTGTATTATTTGCCAAGCTTGTTAAGTATATCGCTCCCAAATTAATAATGGCGGGCCACTGTTTCCTGCGGCTTACTCTCTAGGCAACTAAAGCCTAACTGAAAATTTTATGAGCTTGAATAACATGAAAAAGTTCGAAAACTTATGTCTCCCCAAAACCTAAAAATCAAAGCTGTAAACACCGAAAATCCGAAAGTGCATGCGCAACAACGCGGTGCCTGAAATTCTCTTCGAAGCTTTTATTAACCTTTGAAAACGGGATAAAACAGTCAGTAGAATATTGAGGCTTCTTTCTTCCACAGACATGCACGTTTTTTAGCCGTTCGTGCTGGTGTTTCCGCACGTTGCCTTTGTATGATAGTGCCCTTCTAAGGTGAGCCACTCATGACTTTCAGAGCTGCACACTGGCACCGTTGTTACTCGTGACCTATATAAGAAATAGTCTTCTGCAAGGTAGCGAATAGGGCGAGTTGGTAAACGCTATACATGATGAAAACCGCTCAAACGACGACGACGGATTGAAGAAAACAAACACGACAGGACGAAGCTGTTCTCGCAAATAAAGTTTTCTTAGCGAAATTAACAGAAAGAAAACAGCGTAGCCGACACTGATTGCATCAACAAATACCTACTTAAGCTGTTGTCGCAACTGAAGTTTTCTCAGTGAAATTAACAGAAAGAAAACAGCGTAGCCGACACTGATTGCATCAACAAATACCTACTTAACTATTAGGCATTACAAAATATTTGAAGCTGAAATGGTTCACACATCGCTATTCATATTAGCTCACATAGAAAAAACCTCTTTATTTGACAGAGCTACCGACGGCGCACCCTCAGTTGTTAATAAATTGTTGTCTTTTTTACCGGTGTACGATGTTTTGATATCATTTTTGCGGCTTAATTAATATACAGAATGGGTGATTACTAATTTCTGAGGAATTAGTAATCACCCATAATTTTAATGAAGTGGCGAATGCGAATTGTCTTAAATTGTCATGTTTAACGCAGAATCCGCTAAGTTGAACAAAACAACAACAAAAAAACAACAACAAAAACAACATCGGTGAGCTTTTCTCCGCATCTGCCGGTTTTGCGGTGAGCTTTTCTCCGGTGAGCTTATCTCCGGTGAGCTTTTCTCCGGTGAGCTTTTCTCCGGTGAGCTTTTCTCCGCCGCCCGATTTTACAGAGCTCCATTTGTGGAGAGAGTTAAGAGTATGATTTGCGACAAGCGCGAGCTTTTCCTTATCTTGAGCAGAAAAAAATAAACTAGTGTCATTGGCATATATAACATAAGTTGCCTCCGTACTAATTTCGACAATATCATTGATATATATATTAAAAAGTAGAGGACCCAGTATACTTCCCTGAGGAACACCGGCAGCTAATGACTGTAAACCTGAACGCTGATTGTCGATGACAACACACTGTTGACGAAATTCTAAATATGAAGCCACAACGTCAAGAGTTACCCCACGAAAGCCGTAAAACCCAAGCTTTTTAAGTAGAGTGATATGATTAATGGGGTCAAATGCCTTAGAAAAGTCCACAAATATACCCAGAGTGGTACACTTTTCTTCGAATGATTTCAAGGTTGTTTCTTTCTGGGTTAGCAAGGCAAGTTCAGTCGAACGCCCCTTTCGAAAGCCATACTGCGAGGGGGTTCAGAATAGAGAATTGGTTGCAAAACGAGGAAATTCTGGTGTGGATGAGTTTTTCCAGGCACTTAGAGAAGACGGGTAAAATGGAAATAGGGCTGTAATTGGATTGATCATTCTTGTCGCCACCCGAAGAAATTGCAACATTGTAAATGTCTGATAATACCGGTGCTAATAAGTTCAGAACGTATTTGACAGGCCTAATTTGAATATCGTCAATGTCACTTGATTTACTATTTTGAATGGAATTGAATGTACTGAAAACTTCGTATTCGTCAGTAGGGTGAAAAAAGGCACTGCTTTCATTGCGAGTTTCTAGGTAGCTTGTCGACAAAGGGTTATGACTGCTATGAACACTGTTAGCGAAATAGTTGTTAAACGATTTTTCGAGTTCTTGTCCGCGCAATATTCTATCACCAATTTTAATTTCTGAAATGCTATTGTTTTCAAGGGATCGATTTAGGAGTTGATTTACTATTTTCCATGTTTTGTCTACTCTTGACATTGTGGCTACATTAAATAAAGAGTGCAAATAATTTTTCTTTGCTTCCCTAAGCATTTTAGTCAGTCTATTTCTATGTGTCCTAAACTTTTTTAAATCACCTGGCTTCCTAGTATTTATGAATTTATGGTATAATTTATTTTTCATACGAATCACCTTGAGACATTCTTGGGTTAGCCACGGCTTATGAGTGTTTTTTTTCCTTGGACTGGTTTATAGTGAAAACTACTGTTATATGCTTCAAAAAAAAAGAGCTAGGAAATAGACATACGCGTCATCAGCGGAACTTGTGTTGTATTCTGGGTTCCAGTTTACGTCACCAATCAAGGACCAAAAGGTTTCGAGTGTCTGAGAATTTATGTCTCGAAACACACGAATGCCCGCAGGTGTATCACAATCAATAACATTGACGTTACTAGCGATCATGAATATTGGCAAATGATCACTTATCTGCACACCAATGACACCGCCACATGCGCTACCTAAATCGGTATTGGTTATGAATAGGTCGATAAGCGTGGATGAGACACTTGTAACATGTGTTGGCGATGTAATGACGTTGACACAGTCGTTCGAATCGAGGACACGTTTAAATGAACATTACACGCTTGAGGCAGTAAGCATGTTGACATTAAAATCCCCACCCACAAAAAGATTATGCTTGTTTACACTTGAAAAATCTAGAAACTTATCGAAATAACACAAAAAAATTGTTAGAGTTTCCACTTGGGGGCCTATACATCACACTAAAAATATTTTGCG